CAGTATTCGCATGCCTAAACGTTATCCCGGGTAATTTGACTGCTTGCCATATAACAGTGATGTGATAGTTGGACCTACTCCAAATATACCGATTGAATGAATGTGCATTATAAGGGGGTCACAACTGATCGTAGTAACAGTTAAGAGATTGACGCACAAGCAGACTGTGTAAAACATAACAAGGGGACATAAGGTTAAAAAAAATCGATAATTAAAAAATATAAGGAATGAGAAGTTAATTTACCATAATCTTCAGTGTGGTTGAAGGCCGCCATTGAGCGGTGAGTCTGAAGGCCTACGGTGCCGGCGCCGGTATAACTGATTAGACACCGACTGGTTGAGAGCTCCCACAGCTTTACGATGGAGTCTTTACCGGAGGTAAGTACATACTAGATGGTGTGTGTGCGAATAGAATAGACACAGCTATTAACGAAAAAAAATAAAGCAAATACAAGGAATTTAAAGGTAAAATGCAAGCTACTGTGTGTGTTAAGGAAAGTTGAGGACTTGTGCATGCAATCGCGCCATTGTCCTAGAAGTTGTAAACCTGTACATATTACAATTCTATTACTGAAGTTAATTCAGTAGCTATTTTGTTTTTCCAAGCTATTAAATCGCAAATGAGACCGCGGCGGCCCACCTATATAACAGTAACCACACTACTGTGCCCTTTTGCTCACCTTCGAATTCCGCGAGAATACGGCAGAGCAGACGGGAGCCCCATCGTGGGCGGACTCAAAAGTAGAAACACAACGACCCGAGACGCCATCCCAAAGCTTGAAGCTGCCATCCACACTGGAAGTAACGAAGTAGTTTGCGTTCGGCGCCCACCGCGCCATCGTCACAGCACCATTATGCTGATCCTCGGGCACTGCAGACACGTAGCACTGGCAGGTATTCACGTTGTAAAGGCGTACTTAAGGGTGAGAGGTAGGAAGATAGGAGATGTAGTTAAGGAAAAGGAGAGAAGCTAATAAACACAGAGACGATCCCTTAGATCCAAAAAGGATATGACAGCAAATACGTACTGACAAATCACAACTGTGAAATCTATAACCAAAATCCAATAAATTCCTCGCAATGAATGCATTCCGATGCGACATTAGCAGGGATTAGCCTTCTCTCGGTGCTACAGAGGTATCAGTGAATTCGGCCTAATTTCATATGTGAGGGGGGTCAGTGGTAAACAAACCCTGGGGTTGATAACAGTGGTCGTTGGAAGACGGTGAAACAAGCACTTAGAAGACTTACTTAGGTATTAGAAGTTAAATATGGGCAATTATACAAGAAAACCAGTCAATCAGGAACGGTAAACGGTAGTCATAACAACGATACAAATTGAAATAAGCGAGCAGCCAATATAACTTACGAGTCTTATGTTGTGTGCCTACGAGAAGGTAGTTGCCAGAGGGATGGAAATGCAGCGTTTTGATTGGTGAGGCTTCCTAAATGCAGAGACGACGTAGCAAAAAAAGGAAGCCAAAGGTGGCTAGGGTAGAGCACAAGACGCAAACAGATGCTGACTTACGGGAATACTCCGTTGCGCCTTCTTGACGGAGGGGTTAGAGAAGTCGAAAAACTTTATAGTGTAATCCTTACTTCCACTGACAAGGATTTGGAGGGAGGGATCGGGATGAAAGTCAACGCATGTGACCTCCTAAAGTGAACGAAATAAAACCGCAGGGGATAGGACGCGTTTTAGATGCTTGATTTGCGCACATAAAGAAGACAAAACCAAACTGAAACCGTACCGCTGTATGGTCATACAGAGTGCGAATTACTGGATGCGTCTCCATCTGTTGCTGTGGGGTCTCCTGGTTGCCATGATCTGCCCCCGTAACACTTTTGGCAAGCATCCGTTCGACGTCCAGGATCTGAAAGGGTCAAAACAATAGAGATAGAAACCTCTAGCAATCAGAAAGCCGAATTATCAGCCTAAAAACGTTGCCTGCTGGAGGCATGCGTTTGAATGAATCATGAAGATCCTGTTATTGAAAAATGTTCTGATGGCACAGATAAGTAAGGCAAATGGACCAACAGGAGGTAGATGCATAGACTATTAGTTGCTCGCAAGGGGTCCCTTGAAAGAACCACAGAATAAAAAATGTTAGACACTAATTGCTGATTAAGAAAAGCGGTGGGTGATTTTTGTGGTGACCAGAGGCAAGGTTTCCCATGGCAAGCTCAGCTGAAAAAAGTGGGACTATTTCGAAAGAAACATTCAAGGACATGCTCAAGCTAAGTCAAGATTACCTTGATCGAAGAGTCGTGCGAACCTGTAGCCACCAATTGACCTAAAAGGAAACAAAAGACTGTAGTAAGATAGCAAAACAATGCATGCCTGTTAGAGGAAGAGGAGGCTAGACGAGAATAACCGTCCAAAAGCGAGTACGAGCACCAATCTTTGAACTGAAAGTTAAGTGCAGTCAGGCCCAAAACGAGACAAAACTGTTTCTACGGTAGGGCAGGAGACCGATGCAGATTGACGTAAACAATTATGAACAGCAACAATTTATGCAAGTATTGATGGTGGACTTAATGTGTTTAAGTGACCGTTGACATGAAAAAGGAGAATTCAGTCAGGAAGTTGGTGGGGGCGCACATTGTAGGAAAGGTTAGCTTCGTCAAACCCAACTATACATAGAAGAAAATGCTCATCGCTGCTATGTTCGCTTCTTCTTCTAGCACTACCCAGTCATCGGACTGAATTGTGGTTGTTTTAAGTTCTACCCTGTTCTAAATTCGGAAAAAGTTTAATTTGGAATCCCAAAGAACACGCGAAAACCCCATCCTTCTGTAATACGGAACAGGTGGTAACAAAGGTTAAATGGATAGGGCATATAAGGAGAAGTAAAAATAAATAAATAAGAGCGTATAAAATTAGAAAATAATGGGAATAATTATTTAAATAACCAAAATAACCGAATATTTGCCAGCGATAACTAAAATTGCCCAAAAGTACCCAATTGGACACAATCATCGAATCTATATGGACTCTATAGCGATGATATAGAGTTGATATAGAGATGATACAGAGATAATATGGGGTTGATATAGAGATAGCTTCTAAGCCACAGTCGGCGACTATATAATCTCTTTATCAACTCCACATATCTCAAACTGCATTTTGCGAATGAATGTACAATAGACCCAATGCCGAGACATTATTGCGCACGCTAGCTCGGAAGGGAAGAAATCGTGTGACCAGACCATGAAGTTCTTTAAACGAATTTCCTCGAGTAGAAAGGATAAAGGGGGTCCGCTACCAGGCGTGAACAAAAGACTAAAATTCAGCGGATGAAACTTTTGTGGGACATTGCGCAGCGTTGAAGTTAAAGGCATAAATTGTTCTTCCCGAATCACTAATAACATTCTTTTTGTGGATGTCCGACGAGCTTGTAAGACTTGTCCTGTAAGACTGTGAAAATAGGCGCAGAGTGACACCTAATAGTATAAGGGATTTGACTGCGGGATAACACGAATTTACCTTTAACCCGACATCCCACCTTAATCAACTATAAATCTGGAGGCATTTTGGACATTCGCCAGTGAACATCGTTAACATTTTAACAACGTAAGATCAAGCCTGGTGGTTCAATCTGTTGTTCGAGCCAACAACCCTAGGCCCATAAGACAGGGGGAGAAAAGAGAAAATAAGATTTTGATCGACACGAACAAGGAGGTTTATTAATGAAAAGACTGTGCGATCACCAGACGTGTTTCCGTCATCGACTACAGAAATAGATGTGACTGTCGGTTCTGAGTTATTACGTCAGTTGAAAACCTTCAAGACCATGAGTTTTAGCGCGTCGTGAGATTTTCGAGTGCACCAGATGCATTATCACTAGGAATGCATCGTTTCGCCTTGAGAATGGATTCCTCGATATCGGTTTCACTAGTTTTTTTCCTCTCTAATGCATTAATAGCCTGTCAGCCAAATCAACGAGGAATTGGGTAGGTTGACTGACGTCTAACGCACCTGTGCATCACTTGTAAAGGACTCGGCGCAAATAATTCAGTGCCAGTTTTGACAATGCGTCAGAGTCGACGACGAAATAGTAGCCCAGCTCCACAGACCTTCGGAAAGCTACAACTTCATTATGCATCGGCTTCTCTGTGACGCAGAAATTGGGTCTACTATGACTAGGAAAGAAAGCTTGAACGCTTTCAATTAAACCGCCTACGAAGGATCTGGGAAAGGTCTTAAGAAGGAAAATAAGAATTCAACGTCTGGAAACTGCAAGCAGGCTGATCATCCTTATGGCTGACCAGATATATCACCCACACATACAACAAATACGTGAAACTAAGGAGGACGAAACTTATAAAACAGCCCTCACTTATTTTTCGGGGACAAGCAAAAAACCCTGACAAGTTTACATACGAGCGGTAGACGTAGTATGCTGCATTAACAATTCGTGGAGGATTTCTAGAAACCAAAGGATATCAGATGTGATGCCCGGCGAAAGCAACCTGTTAGCCTAGCTGCTGACTCCCAGTTCATCTACGAGCGAGGAAACGGTCTTCAGAGAAAGGCAGCTGCAAGTAATCAGTCACGGATGAGCAGCCGCAGCGTTGCTGCGTTGACGTCTGATAGATCGACGATTCAAAAATAGCACAGAGCTCAAGACGGCACCAGGACATTGCGAACAGGAAGCGCTATAAGAGAGGTTTTCTTACTACCACCATCGTCTTACAATTGAGTCTTGAATAGACTGTGCGCTATAAAATTCCAGAAATTTGATTGGGCATTGTCGGGAAACCACCTCTACCGAAAAGTTCAAACATACCCTATGA